GGTAGTATTTATGATCACAGAGGGTAGAGCGTTCTCAAGGCCTCCATCCTCTGGTGGGTATAGTCGCTGCAATCGTACGAGTATCTTCACAACTAATCCATATCAACGACCAACACTATTTGCAGTAGCTGTTGCGTATAAGGCTGGTGTCAGAGTTCGGCGGGAACGTCATTCACCGCTACACTGCCTTTCACATGTACCAGTGTTATCGACCTTTTGATATTTCTATAAAATACCCGCGCTTCGCATATTCATTACAATTAGAGCTGTTGCGTAAGGCTGGTGTCAGAGTTCGCGATCCGGCGCGCGCGACGGATCGCAGACATCACCAATGCCCCGACCAATACTGCGACGTGCTCTCCAATCCCGATGCCGTTTCTGCATGGTAGTAGTGATTGAATGGCGACTGTTCATGACCCTACTTGATTCATATTAAGTGTTTAAAATGTGTGCCGTTCAAATGGGACACCTGAGATTGTTGCGACAGATCGCGGACTCTGACACCAACCTAAGCTCGCTTCCCAATTCCTCGATTGAGTACCGTTGTGGAGATAGAGGTTAAATCGAAATGGGAAGAAGTCATGCAGTACTCTCTTTCTACCTAATACTTACCAATTCTCAATTCACTTTTCAAGGCGCGAAGTGGATCGCCAATGAGGAAAAAAGGAACTTCTGAAAACACTGAAAATGGAGCCTTTCTTCTTTGCGCGCTGATTAATCCTCAAAGGCAGACAGTCCAACAAAACACTGGAAACTGTGAGGGATACTGGCCGACGAGGCGAGTAGACGAAGCGTCTGGTGCTTCCTTAATGCACTTATGGTCCGCGATATTGGCATTGGCAAATCAATCTGCAAGCTCTTGTTTTTTACTCTGCCCACTTCTGTGTACGCTGCGCACACCTATAGCAGATGACGTTCTACCCTCGCAAGGCTCAAATTTCTTCAACGAAATCCCCTCCCGTCGGCAGCAGTTGTGGAGTTTGAACTGAAGGCGAAGCTGGAATATGTTGAGTCGTTTCGCAGTGGTAAAGTATAAGTAACCTGTCCCACGCTGCTGAGTGTAAGGCCAGGAGGTGGGAGTCGTCTCGGGAGCTCTTCAAGAGAGTGCCGTGAATCTCCGAAAATGGCACAACGCGAAGGCCGATCTCGTGTTTCATCTACCGACAGCAGTTGGACTCTTGCCTCGGCCGTCTCTACCACCCTGTTCTGGTTTTTCGGTGCAGGCTCGAAATTCCAAATACATACGATTGTAAGAAAAGTCGCCCAGTGAAGGGCAGATCCCGCCCATTGTGGGTGAGCCCACGCTCGCTTCAAGTATTCTGGGAAGACCTACAGATCTTCTAGACCCATTTTTCTTGTGAGACGTTATCATGATCAAGCTGACAACTTTGAATGAATCCTGCCCATTCAGAGGTGCTCCTTCCAAATCAACCTCCGCAGGTAGGCCTCCTTAATTCGACTTGGCAACTCACTGTGGGATCAAATTCAGTGAATGCGGCCGTCGGCAACCGGTCCATTTCGACGTATGAGGGGGGCCCCACTCACTCGTCGGGGGCGGAGCACGGGTTACGCTTGGCCCACACGTGCCCATATATCCTGTCCTGTGCTTACACGATCGTCATGCAATAGCGAATTCGTAACATAGCAGTGATGTGTAGAAGAAATAGGGGGATTTCAATGTTTCAGAGCAGAGCAACATCAAGCGGGAAATGAACGCCTTCGAAACTTGGTGGAAGCAAGTTCGTTAGTGGAGTCACTCGAGAAGAGAACTTCTTTGCGCTCCTTCGAATCTCACAAACTTCAGGTGATTTCTGTCGTTTCCTTTCGGCTTTTAAAATTAAATTTCCCTCATTGGATGTTTCAAAATGTGGTTCATGATGAATTACTGCTAAAATTTAAGTGCCGAAACCATATAGGTATAAATTGTGTTGACTAAGGAAGCCCATTGTAGCTATTTTGGGAGAGTGAATCTTTTTTGACCGTCAGCCCTTCAAAATTCCTCGGGTATATACACATCAGTGAGGCATGAAACTGGTTTTAATTTTTTTTTTAAGTAATCATCACCTTTTTAATTGTCTTGTCAAAACTGTAAATTATCGGTGCAGGAAAATTTGAGTAACTGAGTCCTACTTGAGATATTTTATCAGTAATTCTCTTGAATCACTTCTAACTGAACATTTGTCCTTGCTTTTGCACAAGAAGCATGTGGCATCACGAGAGGGCGCAACGTCGACCTAATATTAGCGCCTAACTCGTCGTTGTGTGACGGTGCGCCTAGTTCTGTAAGGCATTGCGCTGCGACTGGAGCACGTACAGCAGCCGAGTTCGACTGCTACAGAGCGTTGTCGCAATCTGTCATGAGGTCACATACTCCAACACCGACCACAAAGATAACAAAGTAATGTTCGTGGATTCTTGGACATTTACCAAGTGGTGTGATGGAGGGGCGAAAAACCAGATCTACATCCCTCACCCAAAGCGGTTTTCGTGTTGCGGTGTACATAAACCTGTGTTAGTTTTTTTTTTACTCAAGATTCTAATAGCGTTGGCTGCCAGCACTCAAAGTGAGCATGAAAGTTTTTGCTTCTATTCACTCAGCGATGGGTTCTATTACTTTGCAGGAACTTGAAACAGCGTGTTCTCGTCTGAAACTCGAACTGGAGCGTTTAGTGGAGGAGAAGGCTGACGGTGGTCTCGAGAATATGAACGTGAAGCTTTCTGCTTGACCGCATAATGGAAGACAATGACAGGTTGTCCTTTGTTCTGCTCATTCCAAACGGCGCAGAATATGGAATTTCTTTTTCAGACTCCGAGAGGAATCAGCAGAATTGCGAGCTATGCTGTCGACGCGATTTGAGAGGCAATCGGCCTATGGCAGGTGGATCTCCAAGACCGGATTCCGGCCATTGGTCTGCTGGACATTCGGATGACGGCAGTTCAGATCTCGATGAAGATTTGTGCAAGGAGAGGCAGTGTCGTCAATTGAAAGCTCTCGCAGAGTTGGTTGCGTTATTTCTTTCCATTTGTAGGGCTTAATTATTATTATAACCCTCTGAATTCTAGGAATTTGAATCGTGTGCTTGTCGACAGAAACCGAGAAATAGAGAAGCTGGAGAAGCGGCTCTCAGAGACGACACCTACATTCGTAAGTCCTTGCAATTTTCCCATGCTCACTGCAGACCGTAGTTGGTGGAGCTCCCCGCCCACACCAGTTCGTCTGAATGCGGTTCACGCTCACTCGCCGACCGTCTCGAAGCATATGCCCAGGGCTGCTACGACACAGCACTTCTGTGGTCATCTTCTCTTCGGTTTTCACAACCTCAGCATTCCTTTGAAACCTATTTGGAAAAGTTTCGCGAAAAGATGTCTGAGCGTTGGAGGCAGCACTATGGACACTGACACTTATGGTAGATTCACAATTGGTCTAGTTACAAAAAAATAAAATTGAAATCGAAATGGGAAGAAGTCATGCAGTACTCTCTCCTCACCTAATACTTACCAATTCTCATTCAGTTAGCAAGGCGCGAAGTGGATCGCCAATGAGAAAAAAAGGAACTTCTGAAAACACTGAAAATGAAGCCTTCTTCTTCTGATTGATTTTTGAAGACAGACAGTCCAGCAAAATATTGGGAACTGTGAGGGACACTGGCCGACGGGGCGAGTGCAGACTCAGACAGGTGCGCATAGGGGGCGAGCCGCATTATGAACACAGCCCCGTAGACGAAGCTCTGGTGCTTCCTTAGTGCACTTATTATTGGCATTGGCAAATCACTTTGCAATCTCTTGTTTTTTGCTCTGCTCACTTCTGTGCACGCTGCACACACCTATAGCAGATGACGTTCCTACCTTCGCCAGGCTCAAATTTCTTCAACGAAATCCCCTCCCGTCGGCGGCAGTTGTGGAGTTGGAACTGAAGGCCGAGCTGGAATATGTTGTTATTTCGCAGTGGTGAGGTGCAGCATAAGTAACCTCTCCCATGTGGCCAGGAGGTAGGGTCGTCTCGGGAACCTTTCAAGAGTGGGCAGTGAAGTTACGAAAATGGCACAACATGAAGGCCGATCTCGCGTCGCACCTACCGACGCAGTTGACTATTCCTTCGCCGGCTTCTATCCACCCATTTTCCTGGTTTTCGTGCAGTCTCGGAGTTCAATCATGAGCATTTGTAAGAAACGTCGCCCAGTGAAGGGCAGACTCCGCCCATTGTGGGCGAGCTCACGCTCGCTTCAAGTATGCTGGGAAGACTTACAGATCTTCCACACCCATTTTTCTGCTTGTGAGGCCTTACCATGATCAAGCTGATGGCTTTTTTTATTGAGCACTGCCCATTTACTCTTAGGTACTCCTTCCACCTCAACCTCCGCAGGTGGACCTCCTTAACCCTTTGACGACAATGCGGATTTGCACGTAGCGTGCTCGTGGGACCACGCCTCTTTTTGGCGCGCCCAACTCTCGCACAAAATGGGGCAAAATTGTCCCTAAAAGACAATCAAAAGAAAAATTGACCGCGGTCTCGTTAAGCTTTATGATTCATGCCTTGGCATTATGAAGTGGAAGTATGCGGAAAGGAAATCTCGCGATTTAAGCAGGTTGGTGTTATGAAACTCTAGAAGTTCACATTAACAGAAATTTTTGATATTAGCAGTGATTCACTAATTATGGGACAACCTAATAGTTAAACTCCTGTCCTGATCTGTAATTCACCTTAAGCTTAATAATGTAAAACACTAGTTAATACATCGCCGAGCGAAGTGCCATATCCTAAAATTTCATATAAATTAGCTAGTAACAAACATTTCTGCAAAATATGCTAAACATAGGCGTAACGGAGCTTGCTTATAATTACTGATATGTTGAAAATGTTTTAAATGGGTAAAGAAGAAAATTTTAGGGTGGCACCCACCATTGGGTGCCATTGTCCCACGCGACGGTCATAGTGGCACCGGTGCCATTGTCCCACGCGACGGTCCTAGTGGCATCCACCGGTGGGTGCCATTGTCACCAAAGGGTTAATTCGAATCGACAACTCCTGTGGGATCAAATTCAGAGGCGTGGCCGTTGATCGCCTGTTTTGACGTATGTCCCACTTACCACGGGTGGGGTTACGCTTGGCTCATAAGTGCCCTTATATCCTGTCCTATGCCCCACACGATTCGTCATGCAGTAGCGAATTTCGTAAACGTGTGCAGGCAGACAGACAGCGCTTCATATATAGCAGTGATGTGTAGAAGAATTAGGAGATTTCAATGTTTCAGAGCAGAGCAACATCAACGGGAAAATGAACGCCTTCGAAACTTGGTGGAAGCAAGTTCGTTAGTGGAGTCACTCGAGAAAAGAACATCTTTGCGCTCCTTCGAATCTCACAAACTTCAGGTGATTTCTGTTGCCTCACTTCGGCTTTTAAAATTGAATTTCCCCTCATTGGATGTTTCAAAATGTGGTTCATGATGGAGTATTGCTAAAATTCAACTGTCGAAACCATGCAAGTATAAATTGCTGAATAATGAAGCCCTTTGCACTGCATTCTGTTTTGTACGGTAATTCTGCTGATATTGTTGCTATTTTTGAAGAGTGAGTCTTTTTTGACCGTCACCATCAAAACTCTAATTATTGCACATCAGTGAGGGTGTGAATTGGTTTAAATTTTTTTGAGTATTCATCACCTTTTAATTGTCTTGTCAAATGTAAATTATTCGGTGTAGGAAAATTTGAATACTTGTGACCTATTCTTGAGATTGTCCGCTCAGTAGTTCTGCTCTAGATCATTTCCAGCCGACCATTTATCCTTGCTTTTCAACAAACTTGTGTGGCATCAGACAGGGCGCAACGTCGACCTACATGCGCCTAAATCGGTTGTTGCGTGACGGTGCGCCTACGACTCTAAGGTGTTTGCGCGGCGAAAACGCGCATTATACGTGTGCTTCTTGTGTA